TGGAGCGACAACGTTAGCGATGAGGAAATGACATTGAACGACAGCCTCGAAGATGGAAATCCTCCTCCTCAGCGAAATGCTTTCGATAGTAGCTCACACAACGTTGCTCGCCAACCAGAAGAGGAGTCTAAATGTGTTCATCCGAATGGTCTCAATCACTCAGATGATGAATCAAATGGCGAGGATATTTATGGCACGATGGCTTCCCCTTCACCGGCTGTGCTGCCACTTATTCCGCGTGCCTCTAGCTTGCGAAGAGACCCCCGAGCTGATGGGACTGACACTTCGCATCAAGCACATCCGATTACCCAACCCGTCACGCACTTCGTCGAAGTCACAAGCATCGAAGACGGTCAGCGGCGCATCACTTACGTGGAAAACGGTGTCACTGTGGAACCTGTAATACCGTCACGTAAAAATAGAGGCACGTTCACCAAAAAGTCGCGTCGCGTTCGGCAACCAGAGGTGATTCAAGAAGCGGATGAAGAGGCTGAAGACGCGACATGCGCCGAAAAGACCCGTGATGATGGAAATAATGGAGAGAACCGAACACTCTCTTCGAAGTCACGGGTTGGAAAACATTCACCGATGAGGTCGCCAAAGCCACGTGTGCCGTCTCCAGATGAAGAAGTGATGGACATAGACAAAACTCATGAAAATGGAGGGAGCGAAGAGGGTCCGACTCTCCCTTGTAAGTCATCGGCCAGAAGGCAGTCACCAGTGAGCACAAGCAAGCCACGTGCGCCCTCTCCGACTGAAGATAAAGTGGTTACGGAAGCTCGTGATAGTGAAAAGAGTGGAGACGTTCCAACTCTCCCTTCAAAGTCACCATCTAGAAGACAGTCACCAGTGTGCTCGAGTAAGCCACGTGCGCCCTCTCCTCCTGAAGATGAATTGGATACCGAGAAAATCCAGGACAATGTGGAGCTAGAAGATCGTACCTTCCATTCCCAGTCACCGCCGGTTAGAAGGCAGTCGCCAGTAGGGTCGGCAAAGCCACATGCTCCCTCCCCTGCGCCTTTGGACCCTCCAACAGAAAATGAATGCACAACTGAGGAGGAAAATGACACAAAATACACTGACGAGGCAGCGAACGAGCCGGACCCCGGAGATGTATCAGAGCACAGGTCATACTCGTCGTCTTTACACCGCCCGGTTTCCAGTGAAGCCACGGTTGCTGATGAAAAAGGACCAGAGATTGAGGTAGGCTTGGACCAAGAAGAACCACAAGAAACAAACTCGAACCAGTCCTTTGTACGGAAGTCACCATCACCCTCAACGTTGTCCGCAAAAGATTCACATCCTGAGACTACGAGCCTAAAACGTCGAAAAGAAGACACCATGACATCTGCTTTTGACGAGCGCATCTCTTCTGCTTCTTCTCCACAGCAAAGTCGTGCTTCTTCTCCCCAGAAAAGTGGTGCTCGAAGTCCAAATGCCGAGCGGACTGACTCCTCTGGCTCTGCTGTTGTGGAAGAAAATACATTTCCAGCTTCCGCTTCCCCCTCTCCTCGTCTTTCCTCCCCTCCCATGCCTTCTCCTCCACGCTCTCCTCTTTCTCCAATGGATAATATTTCTGCCGACAGTCTCACCCTCAAGAAGAGCCCAGCATCTGGACGGTCATCTTCGCTGTCTGGTTCGCATATCGAACAAAATTATGTTGCTGAACCAACCTCAAAGCATGCCAAAGAGGAACCAAATGTTGTGCCGTATAGCCCTCTGCCCGGCCCAAGCACCGGTGCAGTGCCAAAGCAACGACAGTGGAGAGGATCCCAGGTTGTGAAGTTCCCGAAGGATCGCAGTCGAGGACGTGCGACAGGTAGGGCTTACTCGGAGCAACTCAGGTTCTTCGGAGATAGCTCGGACTACGAACCGGTCGTCATGCGTTCAGGCTCAGCAACACTTGTTTCGTCATCTTCACAGACGGCATGTGATGCCGCTGTATCTTCTGCTGGTGTGTTACCATCTTCTGATGTGTCCTCTCGGCTTCCTGTCCCGACTTCGGATCTTCCGTCGAAGGACCGAAGGAGATCGGACGGTTCGCTCCCTCCGCCAAGTCCTGCGATACCATCCGCTGAAGCACTGATGGGAACCCACAACGGTCGTCCGGTTTCTTCCCCACCTATTGTGCACGTCACCGTTCCTGCCGATGGCCCTTCCATATCCGTTTCCACTCCTCCTCCGGCTCCAAGTCTTGTTCCTACGGCATCACCATCGGAGCGGCAAGAACAAGGTCCTCAAAGTCGGCTTCATTCACCTTCAGAGTCTCCCCAGCCACTCAAAGCGAAGGCCGTAGACAGGGGCACCAATACACCCACTGAGATGTCGCCTCAGAGGATGCACCAGATGCAGCAAACCCCTCCGCCTGAGGAGGATATGGATGTCATGGCTTCAGGAGAACACCAGGAGCCTATTTATGGAGTGTTGCCAATGTCTGCTGCTCACTCCGCAGCTACTGCTACCGCTACCATCGCTGCTGCGGCTGCTGCAGCGGCTACTGCTGTTGGTGCTACCCCTGTCATAGCCGCTGCTGCTGCCACAGCTGCTGCCGTCGCCGCCACGGCTACATCACCTACCCCTGCACCAGCTCAGAAGACATCAAACCCTGCAACGGCGGAGGCATCGGAGTCGACACGGCCTCGGATAGATGCGGAAATTCCTCTGGGTAGCGTAGCGCTCAAGCAGGCACTCTACGAATCAATCAGTGAGGAACGAGCATCACGACGAACCTCAGAACTTCCCGCTCCTCTACCTGGCATGGTGCCCGCAAAATGGGCCCGTCCACCCGCTACCGAGAACGGTGCTACGACCACAGAGACCGCTCAGACTCCAAAACAAGCGAATGGGTTGGATGAAACGGTGAAGACACCGGATACTGAAGCACATGAGGCTGCAGAAGAGGAACAGAACGTTGAAGAGAAACCACGTCGGGAGAGGGTGTTCCGGATCAGACGCTCGGCTCTGGAGGCGCTGAGATATCGCATTCCTCAGCTGAGGGATATCGTGAGGACGCGATTCAGGAGCAATGAGGTGAGATGGGGCAAAAGGAAGAAAGTGGATGACAAAAAGTTAGCATTCCATTTGCGGCTATGACAATGTGTGATATTTGGCGCACCGGCAATCGCATTATTGCACTTAACCCGCGCCCCGTAGGGGGGGGGCCGAAACGGCCCCCCCTGTCCTTTTCGGTCGATATCTCCTAAACGGCTGGAGATATCGCCACCAAACTTTCAGGACCCCTCCGGGCATCAATTTTACACATTGTGACCAAAACTTTTTCCAGAGGCTATGATAGGTTGGCCACAAATGACGTCAGAGTGACGTCATGTTCTGTCATTTTCGACCGAAAAAGGACCTTCGCGAGAAGACCTGTCAGGACTACAGCTTTGAAGATACAGAAAAATGATCAAGACATAAAAGGTGTAGAATTGACAGGGCTACAAAACTGCTATCTCGAATTTTTGAAATTTTCGAGTTTTGACCCCCAAAAATCAAAAAAGCATTTTTTTGGATATATTCGCCAAAAAACCCAAAAAGTTTTTCGAGTTTCGAAAAAACCGGAATATATGTGATAGTGCCTACCGTCTTCTATCTACATACCAAATTTCAGATCGATACCTCGTTTTTTGGCCAAGTTATAGCGAAAAAACTGTTCAAAAATGATGACGTCAAATTTTCAAACTCAATTTTTGGCAATTCTAGAACTCGTAGAGCAAAACGAAGACCACCATTAGACTCTCCGTGACGAGCTGCATCGAATCGATGCCCATTTTATGCAAAAATATCAACTTTGAAATTTGACCTAATTTGACCTGACCTTGACCTGACCTTCACCAAAACGTGACCTAGGCTGGCCCCAAAGGCTGCCTAACCCACATAATCGCATTTGTCATGTAAAATGGACCATAAAACATGTATCACACGACACATTCATATTGTGACCCCCGGTGACCTGACCTCGCTGTGACCTGACCTGGTATCAGTGACCTCAGATAGCAAAGTATGTGTTTGACGAACAATGTACCATCGATGGTTTTCAATAAATTACCAATTTACTCGCTTTCACAGCACATTTCTTGAATTGCCTGTGAACGGTGAAAATCTGACCTTTGACCTGACCTGTGACGTCATCGGTTTGACCTAGGTCAATGAAATTTGGTCACAAGGTAGTTCCCGGGTGGGGCTATCGAACGCCGTTTGAATTTTGAAAATCGGCCGGTAACTTTCCGAGATCTTAGGGGGGGCCGAAACGGCCCCCCCCCCCTACGGGTGGTAGGGTCCGCCGGTAGCCCTACGGGGCGCGGGTTAAGAGTCAATCACGACGGAAGAAAATTGTCCTCTGAACCTAACCTGAAGCGATATTGGATGTCTTACTTAATTTAAAAAAAAATCATTTAATACGGCTTTCGAGTGAACACTTCCTCGCGAGAAACTCCCGCTAAACGAAATCAAGTCAGGTATTAAAACATAAAAAACAGCTATAGTGGGTATATGTTTACATATTGTTCCTCCTCGCCAGTCTGACCGTTGTAGTTACCTATACCGAGCTGTAGTAACTTCCCCATTTCACCGCATGTGGTGAACCCAGGGCCATGTATTTTACGCTTATTATTGTTTTTTACTGACCGTCTTTGCGCGAATTTTATACGATATTGATTATGTTATGCTTCTACTCTTCCATCCCACCAGTGGTCTGCCCCCAACCGGAGAGTTCCGTTCCGTTGACAGTCACGGGTTAGCCAGTGACCCGTATCTGACCTCGTGAGCAATAGAAAAAGACTTGTCACGAGAGTCAACCGACCTACACCATTGCACTAACGGTACGAGCAGTTTGTCAATACTTCTGCAAAAGTGCATGGTAGTGTGCAAGGCCTCTTAGTGCACCGTCGCATCGAGCCGAAGAAGTTTTGTGTGGCTTCCATACCAACCCAGTACCATTTTCTTCGAGTCGAAGTGATTCTGTGAGACAGTAAACTAATTTCATACTATTTCATTTCCAGATTTCGATCACCAACGGCAGTAACCCGGTGCTGGCGGCGGCGGCGGGGTCTCCAGTACCGACAGACGCCTGGTCCACCCGACCCCCGGACGACCCTCGTCTAGAGGTCGAATCGGACAGTGACCTTTCCACACACAGTCCCGCCGGAGGTGACGCGTCCAATGAGGGCCTGGCCGCGGGGCATAAACCGACACAGGATGATGGGAAGCACTCGCTGCTGCAGTACGCCATGCTGCACTTCCGGGATGCCGAGGAAAAGTGAGTTTTATTTTAACTTTGATTCGGTTTAAACTTCCGTAAACTTCGAGTAGCTATGTCAGAATGCAATGCGTTTGGTTTTCCCGTTAGGCATGGTAGCAATAATTACAGGGGCGCGGGAACTACAGGGTGTCTCAAAAGTTCGTTCACAGGTACCAGCCATGCTTTTTTGTCAATAATTCTGAATCAACAAGAAATTAACAGTCGAAATTTTGCATGGGCATTGGTGACAACCTTCCTCAAGCAGTCTCGTTGTTTTCAAGTGCATTCGACCCTTCATGAGCTCACAAAAAGGGTTCACCTCTGACCATGGGTCAGGCACGAAAATATAGGTTGCAAAGTCGGGTATGTTGTGAAACTCTCTGTTTCAGGAGTAATGGGAATGGTTAAGTCGGAAATGACACACGGCTAAGTGTCGGCGAGGATGAGTGCAACATGATGATCATCTCATAAAAACGGTGGCTAAAATTTTTGAAGGACGAAACCATGCGAGACTAACGGCGTTTTGAACGACCCTCGCACGACAGCAGACTCGTGTTCCGGAAAGCAGCTGAAAATGCGGTCATAACTATTGAAAACTGGCAAGAAGGTCACAGACAGTGGTTACCCATTTTCAAAAAGTGCAGGTCATCGTAAAATAAAGACAAATTATAATTTAAAATTGTTTATAATATCTATAACGCTAATTTTTGGGGACAATAACACAAAAATCGTCAATGCCAAGGACACCTGACCCTCCAAAAGTGTCAGTTATTGTAAAATTTTATCTAACGGAGTTTCAAGAGGCAGATCTGCAGCGAATAATTTTCTTTTAAACACAAAATCCCGATAAAACCACACGATGGACAGGTTTGGGCCGTTTACAAAGCAGAACATCTCCCGAGGAAAACATTCCGCAACCGAGCGAAGGTCTTGGCATGGGGAATGACGAGCGCTTGGAATTTGCAAAATTTGCACAATGTGTCTGAGAAACAGACGTCCCACACATTCTGCTACCATATGATGCGAAAAATTTACTCCTGGCACTTCCCGTTTGTTCAGGACTGGGGTCGTTTTGAAAAGGAAAATGGCGCTTGGGATGTCGGCGCCAGTCATTCATGAAGGAGTTAGCGCCAGAGAATGCCTACAAAATACTCTAGAATGGTGTCGATGCAAGCTGTCGGCTTTCAGGGAAAATCAGATGTTGCCGGGGAGCTAGTCAAAACTAAATCCGACTCAGAAACTGCAGGGGATTCCCCTGCAAGAGCTTGAAAGCTGGTAACCTTTTATTAGCCTCCGGCAGCTGACGGAGCAGCAAAAATCGGTATGGGCAAATATTTTTGGAGATACAGCAAAGGGGTTGGTTTCCAACCTTCTTAATCAGTTGTCAAAGCATGCATATTTGTCTAGTGTACACACAGACACCAAAACCTAATACTTTTGGCCGGTTCTTATATGCTTTATTGGCATGGGAAATGTGTGAACGAACTTTTGAGACACCCTGTACTTTCCGACTGGGGGGGGGGGGGGGGCACACCATAATAGAGATCAACCTAGGGTACCCCCAAATCTAGTTTTCTCACCGGTTTTAGGCCACTTATTTTTCACCCCTCGGCTTTTTCAACAAAAAAGAAAACATTTGCAAAAAAGTGTGGTATTCCGTCTCAAAGCTGTGGGGGCACCACCCCCACGGCCCCAGAGTTGGGGGGGGGCAAGCTGCCCCCACTGCCCCCCCCCCTTCCCCGGCTCCCGCGCCTATGAATAATTATGTAAGTAGCACACATAAATGCATGAATACGGTGTTTATCCCCCAAATTAAAAGATTGAGAGATCTGTACAGAATGACCGCTTTTTAGCGACATATAAAAATCATTGGTGAATTAGACATAAATACATATGGAAATCGGTGCAGAGTAATGAAACAAATACATAGGAAATAGCGGTCGCTCATAGTATTTGTAGTAAGCACCCGTAGTAAGCGGTATTTGTCCCAAATGCTGCTTGTTTCGTTACATATTATTAGCCAGAATGCCCCAGCATCGGTGGATGCCCCATAAATATGCGGATAAAGCAATAATGGTCAGTAAATAATGCAGCCACGAGTAATAACCACTCACTTATGTGATGTCTAATTGAGATGTAAAACACGGTAAATGGCCTTAATTAAAGTGAACGGTCATAATTTAAGACCATATGGATGAATAAAGACTACTTATGAGGTCATAAGTAGTCTTTATTCATCCATATGGTCTTAAATTATGACCGTTCACTTTAATTAAGGCCATTTACCGTGTTTTACATCTCAATTAGACATCACATAAGTGAGTGGTTATTACTCGTGGCTGCATTATTTACTGACCCCCGCATTATTGTTATAATTTCCTAGTTGTCATGCCATTTTTGTCGGAAATTATCGCAGAGATGATCGCAGATTTGCAGGAATGAAATATCTGCGAGAGGACCATCCCTACCTGTCACAACTAGCTTTACTGAACACTATTAACACCTGGGTCTTCTCAGATATAACATGCTGCGTGAAGAGGGAGGTGCCACCGGCTCCATCAAATTCGAGAAGAAAAAGGGCAAGAAGAAGGGCAAAGAAGACTGGACATGGCGAGAGCAGGTCAGTGACCTTCTGAGACGTGAAAATGATAAACGAACTGCTGTATCAGCTCATTAGAGGTGCAACGTAAACGACACTGTACTAAGTTGATATTATATCATTGGCATCATTCACTACAAACAACTGAGCTCTTGTTTCACCCAATTCACAGATGTTGACCATCATGGCACGAAGTTTACCAGGCAACATAAATAACGTATCATGTATAGCGAAGTCGTTCGGTCTATTTACTATTTACATTTAGTCATCGTTTATTTTAGGTGCTGAAATTAGGGAAGACTGATAGCACAATGCACATATGTGCGCAACTCTCAACATCACAGGGTTTATGGGCGTTTTCACGTTTCTTTTATGTGCCAATAGCAATCGCTATCACCATGCATCTGTGATGTTTCCCCAACAGGTGGAGATGGTCAAGTGGTCTGACCAGCCACTCCAGGCCTCTCTGCTGAAACTGGAGTCGGCAGAGAGAGCGGGATCGCACGGGAAGGCAGAGTCGGGAGAGCTGAACCGACAGGCCCTCGACTGTTTCCTGTCGATACAGCGGTACATGGGAGACCAGCCCATGGCCAAGGATATGGCAGAGGTGGACTGCGTCTACACTATTCTGATGGTGAGTGTTGTCCTCCTCTCTCCTCAAATAATGTACCGAAGCCGGGTGCGTGGTTTGGGCGATACGCATTTATCTGAGAAAGTATCATATTGCTTATCATTTTTGGATAATTGTCATCTGCTATGCACCACGGTGTTCAAAAGTGGGCGCTATATAAGTATTGTCGCCTGAGCCGTAGATTGACGAGCGTTGTTACGCGCAGAACACCGTAGCCAGAGCGTTGCTTGTATTCGTCACGATGCGGTCGACTAGCGAATACTGATGCGTAGGTGCAGCATATGAAGCAGCGTGGCAACTCAAACTGGCACTAGCGCAGGTAGGCACGGTAAACAACGATGCATCTAGCGGTTTCTGCAAAGGCAAAAACATTGAATAAACGATACGGAAAAATAGAACAAATTCAAGAGCGCGATAATCTAGAAGCAATAAAGCAATAAATCATAATGTTCAATTCTTACCAACGATTTCGTCCACTCAGGCGCCATGCCTCCATTCTCGACGGAGTACACCATGAAAAGGACTGAGTATGGCGGCTGACTTAGAGCCCGCCAGTCACGGGAACCCGCAAGTACTGCAGACACGCGGACATAAACATTAACACATGAGCATGCCATACTCATCCGTAAAACAAATAACATGCGGAATAACAGAAAAATATCCCCGTATAAACTCATCCCGCGAAACACAACACAAAAAGATAACACATATATCGTACGCAACGAACAAGTACCGCCCGCGACAGAGATGGGCAAAAGTATCGATCAGCTGTTCGCGCCGTCTGAGACACGGCCAATAAAGCTACCGCGCGAAGCCAGCGTGGGGGGACGGGAACGGCTCAGGAAGGGGCAGGCTGCTCCATCTCGCGGCTGTCTGGGAAACTCCACCGCACCGCGCAGACCGTAAGGCGCAGGTGTCGCTGCAGACGCATGACTCCTCCGTCACGCGCACACAGGCGCGCGGCTCACAGGCGCACTAACACCCGCCCCTTTTTGACTTCGCCGTCAAAACAAACTTAAACTTTCCTTCTTCACTCGGCCTCGGTAGCGCCGATAATCTTCACCACCTTGGTGATGGGTCGCGCATAAGTCGTGCCGCGGACGCGGACCCACACGGTGCGAACTCGTCCGTCCGCGGCCGCCGGCGCCGCCTCTACGCGTCCGAGCGGCCAAGTTCCGCGAGGAACGGCGTCGTCCACCATGAGCACGATGTCCCCTGGCTTCATGTTCGTCGTGCTTCTTGTAGATCGTCCTGCTCTCGTCTGCAACAACGGCAGGTACTCCCTGCGCCAACGGCGCCAGAATTGCTCCGCCAAGTAGGCGGCTCGTCTCCATTGGCGGCGACCGACTAGGTCGCAGTCTGTAGTAGCGCTGCTGCTGGGAAGCGTTACACACTTGAGGTGCAGGATGTGGTTAGGTGTGAGCGGAGTCTCGTCTCTGGGGTCAGCACTGACCGGCGTCAGAGGCCGGTTGTTAATTATACATTCGACCTCACACAGGAGTGTGTGAAGCGTCTCGTCTGTCATGGATTGTTCGGTCAGGATGGCGTTCAGGATCTTGCGGATAGTGCGAATCTGCCTTTCCCAGGCTCCGCCGAAGTGCGATGCGTGCGGCGGGTTAAACCTCCAGTCGATCTTCATGTCCAGGGCAACTTTCTGGATCCGGTTGTTGTCGTTCTGCAGCTTGTCGACTTCGTTTCGGAGCTCTCGGTCTGCGCCCGTGAAGTTTGTACCGCGGTCAGAGCGCAAGGTGCGTACGTCGCCTCGGCGAGCGACAAACCTGCGCAGTGCGCACAGGAACGAGTCAGTTGACAAGCTTTCCGCCACCTCTATGTGCACCGCTCGCGTTGCGAGGCACGTGAAGATTACGCCATACTTCTTGACGTGAGACCTGCCCCTCTTGACGTAGAAGTTGCCGAAAAAGTCGACACCGGTCCTGGTGAACGGTTTCTCGCCTTCACGAACCCGATCCTCCGGAAGGTCGGCCATCTTTTGAGTCTCCGGCGGTCTCTGCCTTCGGCGGCAGCTCAGGCAGCGGCTCAACACGCGCCTGACGGCCGAGTTAGCTCCCAGCACCCAGTAAGACCTACTGATGTCAGCCATGACGTGCTGTCTTCCTTCGTGGCCGGCTCTGCAATGAAAGTCCTCGATCAGCATATCAATGACGCGCCCCTTCTTCGGAAGGATCGCTGGGCACTTGGCAGTCTGGCACAGCGCGGAGTTCCTCAGGCGACCCCGAGTTCTCAGCACGCCATCCTGGAGGCCGGGATCCAGGCGGGCGAGCGGGCTCGACAGACGTACTTCCTTGCCCGCTCTCAGGTCCTTCATCTCCTGCGGGAAGCTCGCTTCCTGCTCCGACAAGATGATGAGTTTCTCAGCGTCTGCAATCTCCTGTACGCTGAGCTCGGCCGGCGACGACATGATGCCGCCACGTTTCTTGTCCCTCAGCATCCGCAACACACGGCGGATCCATGCCACCGCCCTGGTCAGCCGTCTCCAAGTCGAGTAGTGGTTGACTAGCCTCTTCATCGGCCTGACGGCGTCGGCATTGCCCTCGACGCTGCTCAGGCATGTAGATGTCTTCACCTCCGGATCGTGCTCGGAGACTCCTTCTCCAGCTTCTGGGTCGCTCGGCCACGTCTCCGGCGGCCCCTTCAGGAACTGAGGACCGGCTCTCCAGAGGCTACTGCCCATCAGCGTTTGGGCGTCCACTCCCCGGGAGACCAGATCCGCCGGGTTCTGACCTGTGGGCACAAACCTCCACTGTTCGACGCTCGACCCGTCATGAATAGCCGCGAGCCGATTCGAAACGAATACATGAAACCGTGTCCTGGTGTTGCGGATGTACTTCAGTACTGTCGTACTGTCAGTCCAGTAGTTCTGTTCAACTCGGGTGTCCAGTGCGCGGACCAGCTCTTGTCCTGCCTCAACCGCCAGCTTGGCAGCAGCCAACTCGAGTCGGGGGATAGTGAGCGCTTTCACGGGGGCCAGTCGAGCTTTGCTGGCGAGCAGAGCGCAGTGAGCGCGTCCTTCCGGCGTCACGGTACGCAGATAGGAGACGGCGCCATAGGCTCTCTCGCTCGCGTCCGCGAAGTGGTGCAGCTCCACCGTCCCGTCCAGTCTTCCCGCCGTAACGCACCTGGGGAAGAAACAGTGAGACAACTGCGGCAGGTCTCGCAGCCATCGCTCCCAGGATTCTCTCGTAGCTTTGGGCACTTCCTCATCCCAGCCCACTTTCAGCCGGAACAGGTCTTGGAGCAAGATCCTCGCTCTCACGATGCATGGAGTCACCAGTCCCAGCGGGTCGTAGCAGGACGCCGTAGCCGACAACATCCCCCTCTTCGTCTTCGGTTTCTTCGTCAACTTGCTGACGTCTACCTGGAAGCTGAACATGTCGGAGTTAGTGTCCCACAGTACTCCCAGGGCGCGTTCCACTGGAAGAGCGTCTGTCCCCGGCGTGAGCTCTTTCACTTTCTTTGTCCTCTCTTCTCTGGGCACAGATCTCAGGACTCCGACACTGTTACTGCTGATCTTGGTAAGCTTGAAGCCGCCCTCGGCGCAGAGCGCCTTGAGGTCTCCGACCAGTTTGACCGCGGCTCCTTCGCTTCCCACAGACTTCAGGACGTCATCCACATAGAAGTTCCGTCTCACGGTGTCTCTGGCCTCCTCCATCTTCTGACCGAGCTCCTCAGCTGTCCTGTGCAGCGCCAGGTTGGCGCAGCTCGGTGAAGACGTAGCACCGAAGAGATGTCTTGTATTGCGATATTCCTTGGGCGTGCAGGTGACATCTCCTCGTGGCCACCACAGGAACCGCAGGTAGTCTCGTTGATGTTCGGGGACCAACACCTGCATGAACATGGCCTCGATGTCCCCCGTGAAGGCGTACGGCTGTTCACGGAAACGGATGAGCACGTCAATCAGTGGGTTAGTCAGGTCAGGTCCCTGCAAGAGAGTGTCATTGAGAGACACGCCGTTGAACTTGCTCGCGCAGTCAAACACAACCCGAACCTTCTCTTTCTGCGGATGCCGAACTCCGAAGTGCGGGATGTACCACTTGCATGCTGGTTTATCGTTGTCTGGGGCCTCTTCCGCATACCCCTTCTCCAGCAGGTCTGCCATCACAGCCTTGTACTCTTCAGCGTACTTCGGGTCCTTCTCAAAGGCCCTCTTCAGAAGATTGAGCCTCTTGAGAGCAACTTGACGGTTGTTGTCAAGAAGCGGCTTGCTCTCCCTGAAGGGCAGCTTGATCTCGTATCTCCCTTCTCTTCGTCTGCAGCCTGTCTCCATCTGTGTGCACCATCTTACATCTTCAACCGACAGACCTCTTCTTGTGTCGGCTCGGTCCTCGAACAGCTCTTCTGGGCCCAGTGCGTCCACGATCTTGATGCGGTTGATGCTGACTGACTTGGTGAACTTCCCGACACCACTCAGCACCCAACCATACCTCGTTCTCACAGCATAGGGACCATCATCTCGGCTCGGACACACTTCCACAGGCTCCATCACACTGGCCGCGTTACCTCCTATCAGGAGGCCAATCTCTTGGTCACCTGATAGTGTCTCCAGAAATACTCCAGCATCTTGCAGGTATTTCCATTTACTCACATCTTCTTCGGATGGAATGTCTTCAGACGTCACAGGGATGTGGTCCAGGACATACAGAGGCGGCAGCTCCATGCAGTTGTCCCCATCGAGGCTTCTGATGACCAGACCAGGAACGAGACAGCTGTCCATCACCGCCTCTCCCCTGATCGTGCACACCCTCAGTGATGAGTTGTTTTGCGGCGTCACCTTCATCTTCTGCAACAGGTGCTTTGAGATGAACGAGTGTGTGCTACCGCTGTCCAGAAAGGCGTTAGTTACCACAGTCTCCTTGTCTAGCCCCACCATCACCTTCAGCACCTGGAGCTTGGCCCCTCCCGCCCCGCTGGGCGCCAGATGGCCTGTTGTAGCACTTGGTGTTGGACTTATCCTATCTTCATGGAGCACAGTTGGGTGGCTTCTGTTGCACCGCTCACAGGTCCTCCTTTCCTTACAGAACCTGGAGCGGTGGCCATGCTGAAGACAGGCGAAGCAGAGGCCCTTCTCTTTCACGAACTTGCTCCTCTCCTCGTGCGTCCTGGACTCGAACTTCTTGCAGTTTTCGATCTGGTGTTTTCCCTGGCAAAAGAGACATGATGGGTGTGCATTCTCCATGGGCTGGACACTTCCTGCTAGAGTTCTTCCAGCGATTACCCTTCCTGAGGGCTGCACCTTCAGCTTTGTGTCATCTTTCTTGGTTCTTGTTCCTGGGCACAGCACATGTCGTCCGTACGAGGGGTTCGTTGCAATCCTTGCTTCAGTCTCGATGAATTGGACAAGATCACTGAAGTTCGCTGGACGTCTCCCTTCCTGTTCGATGGCATCAGCTTTCCGGCGCCACCTCTCAGTCAGGTGATACGGGAGCTTCTCCAGCAGTCTCCGGATGGTCTTCGAGTCAACAGACCCCACACCGTGTGGCAGGTTCTCGAGCGCGTTCATGCAGCCCCTGAGGAAGATGCCAAAGTCATCCAGTCCGTCTCCATCATCCGCTCTAAGGGTGGGTAGGGCTAGCATCTCGTCCACCAGACTAGCTACGGTCTGAGCCTGACAGTCGTACCTGCGGCGGAGCAACATGACAGCTTGGGCATAGCCCTGCTCTTCAGGCAGATGAACGCAGGTCTGAACGAGGTCGTGTGGCTTTCCCTTGGTGAACTTAAGCAGGTACAGGAGCCTCTCAGCATCACAGTCCACATTTCTTGCTATGTTGGACTCGAAGGTCCTGAGGAAGGGCTTGAACTTCGAAGTGTCACCCCTGAAAGTGGTCAGGTCAAGTGATGGCAGGTGGAGACGCCTTACCATCTGCAGGTCAGTGCTGTGTTGAGCCGGAGCCCCGCCAGCTACTTGCTGCTGTGTTGGCTCGTCTTGCAGAACGGATTCTGGTGTCACTTCCTGTGGAGATGCCGCTGGAGATGTAGCATCTTGCTGAGCTGCGGCATCTTGCAGAGCTCTTGTCACCGCAGCTTCCTGTGGCTGGACTGTGTCGGCGGCAGCAGCCCCTTGCAACCACATACTTGCAGCTCTTGTCGCATGCTCCACCTTCAGCATCTCCTCCAGGACCTTCTCCTTGGCTTCACTCTCGTCTATCTCCGCCTGGATCTCCAGCTCTTCTCTCTTCTTTCTCAATGCAGCTTCTTCTTCTTCAAGCTGGTGCCTCTTCTTCAGGGCTTCCTTCTTGGCAGACAGCCCAGCCAGCCTCGCTCTCTCCAAAGCCCTGGCAGAGACGATGCTGACCGATGTTCGGACACTGGAGGCAGGCTTGGAACTTGCCGCACTTCCACCTCCAGATCTTGATGATCCCGACTTCACACTCTTCCCATCATCGGCTTTCTTCGGCTCACACTCTTCATGTTGCTTATCGGTCTCTTCCTTGGCCTGCTTCCTAGCTCCCTGACTCTGGAACTCTTCTTCCTTCAAGAGCTCTCTCAACCTCTCCAACAAGACTGGCTTTCTTCCCCGCACATCTTCTCCACGCCTAGTCAACTCCCCGACCAGCTCCTCCTTTGTCAACTTGTCAAGGTCCATGGTTATCGTTGACACACACGGTCAAGCAAGGTCAAGCGAGGTCAACGTCAAGTGAGGGGGTCATGTGGGTCAGGTTGGGCAGGTCAGAAGGATAGGTCAGAAGGATAGGGTTGCTGGCACGATAAGTTATGAATGAACACTTCAACCTTAAGCTAAACACATGTCAAACTAGCACCGAGAATACCTACACGAATGTCAGCCTCATATGGTTCAGACACACCACATCATTGCACCTGTTCCATGCATGCCTCAAAAGTCTTAACAAACAGAAAAGATCACTGGTCAGACCTCTTTCCCTGCCATCAGGAGCAGCAGCACCCACCATCAGTAGCAGTGGCGTCCACCCAGTAGGTGCCAGCCAGCAGACGCGAACCTCCGCCACCGCAGGGACATTAGGCTGCTGGAACCTCCATCCTGGATCCAGTCCCCACGGCGGCAGGCAATCGCGTCTGCAGCGGTCATGCGTCGGCCGGTAGCGACGGAATCAGCAAGCAGACATGCTGATGCCCCCGGAAGACGATGATGAAGACGAACGTTGAAACTATTGTCGCCTGAGCCGTAGATTGACGAGCGTTGTTACGCGCAGAACACCGTAGCCAGAGCGTTGCTTGTATTCGTCACGATGCGGTCGACTAGCGAATACTGATGCGTAGGTGCAGCATATGAAGCAGCGTGGCAACTCAAACTGGCACTAGCGCAGGTAGGCACGGTAAACAACGATGCATCTAGCGGTTTCTGCAAAGGCAAAAACATTGAATAAACGATACGGAAAAATAGAACAAATTCAAGAGCGCGATAATCTAGAAGCAATAAAGCAATAAATCATAATGTTCAATTCTTACCAACGATTTCGTCCACTCAGGCGCCATGCCTCCATTCTCGACGGAGTACACCATGAAAAGGACTGAGTATGGCGGCTGACTTAGAGCCCGCCAGTCACGGGAACCCGCAAGTACTGCAGACACGCGGACATAAACATTAACACATGAGCATGCCATACTCATCCGTAAAACAAATAACATGCGGAATAACAGAAAAATATCCCCGTATAAACTCATCCCGCGAAACACAACACAAAAAGATAACACATATATCGTACGCAACGAACAAGTACCGCCCGCGACAGAGATGGGCAAAAGTATCGATCAGCTGTTCGCGCCGTCTGAGACACGGCCAATAAAGCTACCGCGCGAAGCCAGCGTGGGGGGACGGGAACGGCTCAGGAAGGGGCAGGCTGCTCCATCTCGCGGCTGTCTGGGAAACTCCACCGCACCGCGCAGACCGTAAGGCGCAGGTGTCGCTGCAGACGCATGACTCCTCCGTCACGCGCACACAGGCGCGCGGCTCACAGGCGCACTAACAATAAGGTTTATATTACTTAGGGCCCCTGGCTAACGCCTGCAAGCTTTATACCACGGTGCTTTGAAAACGAGCGCTGAAGAATTTGTTAAGAGGAAATTGGTCCGCTTATCCACGCATTTGTTTTGATTTCACATCTTGCTATACTGACTCAATACGCACACCCTGATATCTTATCAGAGCTACGACGAACTCGTACCATAGCTAGCTGTCTCGATGTCAGTCAAACCGTATCCTAACTATTCGTATTTCCCAGCTCTCTCCCAATCAAACACAAGAACCTCTGTCTGGCTGCCTTTAAACCTGTCGTGCCGGGGTTTTTACAAACAAAAACGTGACAACGACAACCGGTTCGGTGGGGAAAGCTTATGATAATGCGATCCATTGGAGCTACGTAAAAAGGTGATTGGGGCTTGATGCAAGTGGGTTAGTAGCGTTAATGGAATCTGTGGTCATTGATCAGCGACTTAGCTAGCGTTCACAGACCTGGCAGTGAACTGAGCTGAAGAAGTGAAGAAGTGAAGAAGTGAAAATATCAGCTGATAGCCATTCCAACCGTATTATATGTATCTTTAGGCCGGCCCATGCACTGATATGTCACTGTTTGACCGGCTGTACATACTTTCAAAAAGTGACCCCGTTCTACCCCCGCAATCCTGTGCCCTGTCCTCTACACAATAATGTTGTGTCTTTACGCTTTACACCAATAACCGTTTCCCCCCGCGTTACACCCTCAGGCCTGCCACCGCGCCGTGCCACTACGTGATGAAGTGTACTGTCAACTGATGCGTCAGACCACCAGCAACAAATCCACCCACCCCGACTCATGTCAGCGAGGCTGGCGGCTGTTCAGTATCGTGGCAGCGTACTTCTCGTGTTCGGATGGACTCCGACCGTATCTGTTCAAGTACCTGGAGACGGCAGCGTATGACAAGCGACGCGCTTATCATGGTAAGATCGAGCTCATGGAAAATGGGAAATGGGATGGATGGGTGCATAGGATAGCAAAATGGAATGCAAGACTGGGGACCTTCTTAGTTCTTACCTTGCATTCCCGTTGGCAGTTTATTTCATTGCTGTGATTTATATTCATTTTCTTCGTTCTGATTTGTTCTGGAAAATAACGCAGACACTGGGTTATCAAGTGGCTAATTATTGATTATGGTATGGCTAATGGCTAAATGGTTAATTAATTAATTATGTTAAGTTATGATTTCAAGCTTATAAGGGCTAACGTGTGAATTTCGTATGTAACAACATAGGCAACCAGTTATTCGAATGGAGCATTTTAACGCTTTTGCCGTCTTTCCTTTGCACGGCAGGCACGGCCATGGTCTGCCTCCAGAACCTCCGCAAGACATTCCGCTTCGGCGGACGGAAGAACGTCCCTAGCATCGAGGAGATCACGGCCATCACAGCCGGCAGAAACTCGAAGCGACAGATCTACCGCCTGCCGGGAGGCACCGAGCGCGTCATCAACACGAGGAGCACCAGCGTGGTACAGGTGAGGATGGAGGGCATGCTAGGGTGATCTACATACTCTGATGCTGGATGGAATGGATGCTGACGGACATAGGGAGCGAAGGACACTGCTGGACTTCAGTGAAACTGGGAGGGACACTGCAGGACACATAAGGGCATTGTTGAATACACGTATGACACCGATATGACACCGATATGTATGTATGACACCGGGGTGGACACTACGTGTAAATGACGCACGGAGCACTGGGGAGGAAAATGCAGGACGCACGGACTCTTGGGGAGGAAAACGCAGGACACGGGGTCTTGGGGAGGACTTTCACAAACATGCAGCCACGATTGCTACAGGAAACAGGTACCGTCAGACAAAGGATGTTTATTTCTGACACGGAACGCTAGGAAGTGATGGACACGTGAATCAGGGGCAAAGTTGATTGTAAATTCACTTTGCTGTGTCATCTCCTTTAGGACAGTCATGCTTATATTTTCGATGTTTGTTTGAACGAAACCCGTTTGTCGTCAAAACCAACTTGTAATGTTGTTTTGGTTATCAAAATATTGTCACAAGATATGTTACAATTTCTAAATCAGAGTGCAGCTCATAACGATGATGAATGCAAAACAACGTTTCTAACCAAACACTTCACAGGTCACCTTCGATGACCAACACATTACCTTGCTGCTTTCCGTCAGGACATTATTGAGGACATCTGTTCAGTGATCAAGATCCGCACCCGAGAGGAGATGGACGAATTCAGCTTGTACTGCATCGTCGAGGGCGACACGTTCACCATGCCGCTGGCTAGAGAGGAATACATCCTGGATGTCACTACCGAGCTGCAAAAGAACGAACAGGTGAGGGGATACTCTTATGCGTGCGTGTGTGTGTGTGTGGGGGGGGGGGGGGGTAAAGATGTTGCCAATCGACCGCAACATACATACAACATCGACCTCGTACGCATAAGCCAATCGACTTATGCGTACGAGGGCTGAACCGATTTCGGCAAGAGGTCCCTGGCCTTAGTGCACCCATGGGCAGTGGGCACAGCCTGGCTAGATGGTTAGCCCATGCTCCACTATACCTAACAAATAAGGACTAGGCAGTTCTACTTCTACGTACGCATAGGTTCAGTCTTGTTAATGCCGAGAAATGGATATGGTAGCACTGACTGAGTTCGACTGCAGAAAACGGCTATGAAATGCGAAATGGTTTTCACGCACGCATCGGAGTCTATCGTATATTGACGATCCCAGGAATCGTTTCGTTTACTCAGATACGCATTTGCCAGCACTGCTATCACTATAAAGGTTATCAAATAGCGTAACAGAAAGACACGCCCTTTACAAGATTGGACCATATTAGCCGTTTTCACGACGGTCTCTCCGGCGAGTGCACCTAATTTGACCAAATCTGCACCTAATCTCTTTTACAGCAAATATCTTCATTTTATGAATTTATTTCAGTGTTTTAATCGATGATACTCTCTGATAATACGACAAAGCAGGCATATAAGCAAATAGTGTAACCCTAGCTGACAGCTACTAGGAGACACACTGAACCTGATTTGACCAAATCTGCACCTGATCTGCACCAGATGTGCACCAAATGTGTACCAGACGGCCGTCGTGAAAACGGCTATTTAAAAGCTCATTGATTGACATACCGTTAGCAAGAAAGGCATTCATCTCTTTCAGGGCCCCGCATAAAAGCTTCAGATTAGGATGGGTATTTGTAGTAAAGGTACATAAGGTAAAATACTTCCAATTGAATCAAAGCCACACTCTTCTAGGTTGATTCTTCCCAGATAAGCATTGCGCCACCCTGTAATCACTTTATTTGAATCAAAGCCATGCTTTTGTAGGTTGACTCAGCCTGGCAAATCATTGTGCCAACCTTCCCGGAAAACAAACTGGCACATTGAGGCGACGCTCTTTTTAAAGATACATTGGCGCTGTGCTTGTAACCTATCATTCATATGGTATCGGCTCTCTAAACACTAGCAGGATGTGCTCTTCATTATTTGGGGTGCATATGACACGCTGCAAAACAAATTGACACAGTGAGGGGCTGTTCTAAAAGACAACAACACTGTGTTTGTAACACGGAACTATAAACACAAGACAGCTGTGTAGTGTACTGTACTCTTGGCGAGACTTTCCACACGTTTGATAGCACATAAAACACAGCAATGACACATTTTTGTCGTGCTAAATTTTCAACGAGAACACCATACCTACAAGTGTTATGCATTACAATAACGAAATAATGTGTTGTGCCGACATGGTATATGTGTACCCTGAAACAAATACACTAATACACTGTGTCATCAATCGCCGCTCAATGAATGGCGCTAACGTCATAGCGGCTCTGAATCGGAGCGTTTTATATGTACTTTGTTCTGTGTATAGCATTGGTACATTCCTTAGCTGGTTTTACTGAAGAAGCCAAGGTTTTTTAGATACACCATCTAAACCTCTGCATACTCATCGCATGACTGTTGGAAACGCTAAAACCTCTGAAACGTCTTTCTAATACCTACGCTCGCTTATTGTGGCACCAAAAACACAAAACTGTGTTTTTAGGACAAATATATTGTTTTGTGAATTGCCACCAACGTGGGTGGAAAATGTAAAATATTGTAATTTATAGGCCAAATGTAGGGTGTGGAGCCTCGTGCTCTTAGTGTTACGAGTTTTGAGTGGCCGATAGCTTAGTCCTAAAAAACTCCTCGCAGACATGAGCTCAGTTATACAAGGGCACATTGATTTCATTGGATGGACACTGGACATCCTGAAGCAATGGTCATGTCTGTGTCCATCCGGTTAACCCATTAGACGAGGGTCTGATCCTATCTCGAGCTGTGCTTTTAGAGCCACAAAGGTTGTGTGTTTTTAACTTGTGTTTGCACACTTAAAGCATGTTTTGCACTTGTGCTACACAGTTGCTTTACGTTTCATCCTTTACTTACGTTTTGTGTTAAAATCGTAACACCTTCACAGTGTGTTAAACATTTGATTAACCCCGTGAACTGAAAATGTGTTAGCACAACCTTCTTATGTCAAAGAACCGTGTTAACCTGCGCCTGGCCGATGCTGGGTGCCAACCACGCCGGGCCGGAGGGGTGTTTGAACACCACCCCCCCCCCCCCCCCGACTAACTCGACTCCTGCGCCACGTACTGCACGCTCGACACCCCCAAGACCCTATCTGTGCTTCCTCTTCTGCCGCCATTGGTCACATTCAGCGCTTGCGCAGACGTTGTGTACGACTCCATTCTCAATGCGATACCGAAATGTTGCGGCAGTGCGGCCTCGGAGGCTCTCCGAGTCGCTCGTGGTCACCGCTCACTGGCAGTGAGACGACAACGATCGTAATTAGGTCCTGCTGTCATTACGCAGCTATGCTCTGAGTCGCGTGTGCTGGAGAAAAACAAGAGGGACTTTGAAGACTTGTGTGACGGATTGCCGTTTGCCATCGAGGCTGTCTGACGTTGCCGAAAACCCTGTCTAACTGTACAATATGGAGAGGTTCCTCAACATCCAAAGCCTCCGATGGGATCACAATGGAGATCCTATGCTAAAAGTGCGTCAACGTAATGAGGAAGCTCGTGCTCTGCTGGCTTCTCGTGGCGAACCGGAGGATGCCTCTAACTTATTTCTCGTGCTCATGAGCACACCGTACATTGCCGGGTTCCCAAAGCACAGCAGGCACGTTTCCAAGAACGAGAAGCTGCTGGAGCTGACCTTTGCTACCGAGTCTCAGCCGACACTGCCTTATCGACTACCCAAGAAGGAGAGTTCATGTGAGTGCGCCAGTTTAGGCGACATCAAAGTGGAGAAGATCTTCCTTTCCGGCAGTGTCCGGGAGGGTACACATGTGCGCGTCTGGAGCGAGATGGGCTCGGACATTGATGCAATGTTCCATCTGGATTGCACCACTGTGCTCGACACGGTTCCAGAGCAAGTAGAGGCTGCTGGTTGTCAAGCATCATCAGGAAGCTGTGAGCTTCGAGTTGAACCAACGTCAAACCTGGGCTACGTACTTCTGAAGCACCCGAGAAGAGAGAGCTGCCATCATCAAGAGGAGCTCACTTTCGGAGCAGACTGTGCTGTCAACCTGCTGGACGTCTTCCGAGCACGGCTTGACGCCAGCGGAGAGTCACGGCGCGAGGGTCCCGCGCTGAACACACAGGTGCCTGATTACATGCAGCACACGAAGAACACCGACCTGGTTCCATGTCTGACAGCCACGGGCGTGTGGCCGGGCGCAGCGTTCGTCTCCCGCGCTCGTCGCTCTGGTCAGCCGTCACCGGAGCTGGTTTTCAAGCTGTCCGAGCTACCCATCTTTCTGGTGCCTGTGGGATTTCCAGGAAGCCCCACGCAGGGGGACGAGTGGCGTGTGTCCTTCTCCAAACACGAGTACATTCTGCTGAGGCTCATGCTGGAGTCACAGCGCGCCTGTCTGACACTGCTGAAGACGTGCAAGGCGATCCTCGGTCTCCACAGCCTCAAGAGCTACCACCTGAAGACGGCGCTCATGTGGCTCTGTGAGACGCGTCCAACATCCCTGTGGACCTGCGAAGGGACACAACAATCTGTCCTGGAAATCATCAAGTTCTTGGAGGACGCCATTAGCCGGAGGAACCTGCCCTGCTACTTCTGGCCAGACATCAACATCCTGGCCACCCGCAGTGACGCCGAGCTGTCGGAGATCTCTCATGACGTGCACCAGCTGAAGGTCCATCTGCTGAGCTGTTCTCTGGCACTCATCACCCACTGGCTTAGTGGGGACGTGCCCCTCGTTGCTGAGCGTCTTCTCTTCAGTGCCGTGCCCGTGTCGCAGACCCCTGTGAGTCTGCTGACGGACACCTTCATTGAGCAGGTGTTGCACGGCCGCACGGAAGGCTGGTGGGGATTCATACAAAGCTGGGCGGCCGTGAGAGTCGCTCCCGGTGCCTGGCCAATGCCCTTCACCTCCTGCTTCTCGCTGCTGTTCCGATCCATGCAGCAAGCCTTGCGGTCGGAAGACGGGAACAGAAGTGGAGACCTGCTCTGCCGCCTGCTTGGGCTGCTGAAGGCGCTCCAACACAAGCAGGACACCGATGATTCAGGGGACTCTTGGATGGCGGGAGTAAGCCGTAGCGATGGAACCCGTCCGGTCGCTCCACAATGAAAAGGTCGAAGAGAAAGAAACTGGTCGAGTCACAAATCGAGGCTGACTGAATGAAGTTCGTGACTTTTGCTGCAGTTTTGGCTCTGTTGTTAATTGTGGGCTGCTATGAAGTAACAACATCATTTGAATTTACGTGACCATGTAGGCAGATTGATGCTCATGAATGGATTATATTGATCGATACTTGATAGGGATATACTTGATGATGCTTGCTGCTTAGTACTTATGATTGACTGTGAATAGTTGTCATTTGATTGTTTTAATTAAAATAGGTATCAACTCTGGCTTATTCAGTGTAATTGCTTATAGTAGGTAACCTCGTGAATAGGTAATTATTTACGTATGGCTGTTTAGTTACTGTGAGATTCTATCCTAAGTTGCCATGCAGGGGTAAAAAAAAAAGAGTGATACACGCTTCTGTCCCATCTATTAGTTTTGGCACAATGCGGCATCCGTCTTTAGTGCGCCGGAAATATATGGCTTCGTCGGTTCCAAGAAGTTGTGCTTAGCCCTCACCGGGCCTACTGGTTTTCTACATACACCCCTGCCGAGGTGGGGGGGAGGGGGGCGGATACGACCCCCTCGCCGTTTCGCCCCTAATTAACCCTCGCCCGCACATGGGGGGGGGGGGGTGGTTGCCACCCCCCCAGGTAGTCTTTCTGCTCTGCACTCGACATTTTTAGAGCTAGAAGGCTGATTTTTCGTATAGCTGCTCCTCTATCCTTTCTTGATGTCCACTGAAAATTTCAAGTTTCTGTGATTTTTGGTTTTGGAGATATGACCTTGTTTTTCAGGTCATGTCATGACCCAAATGGCCAATTCTCAACATCTTGCGTTTGCCATGGGCCTTGTGGGCTTTTGACACCCTGATTTCGGCCTTTTTTGCCAGTCTTACCTCCCACCTATCATGGAACATGTTGTTCGACGATGTACAGGGGTCAAGGTCAGGGTCAAGGTCAACCTAGGTCATCTAAGATAATTGCGTTTTAGGCAAGCTGAATTTACTTTTTGTGAAGTTTTTTGACTGCATTTTTGGTAAAAGCTTCTCAGATCATGATTTCATGTAATATGGACCCAAAAACAATCGGTGCACACATCAGTATACACACAGATACACACAGACATACAAACACATATAATTGACCTTGACCTAACTTGACCTGAAATGACCTCAGCAGCAAAATTCTGGTCGGGTAGTGTGACAAAGAGGTTCTAGCTGGCTTGGCACCAGAAAACAGCATCGTCATCGGTATTTGATAAGCAGCGCACTTGATATCCAACGGTGACCCAAAACAGCAACATTTTTTAGTTTGACCTGACCTGGAAGGTCAATGACTGACCTGAGGAGGTAAAACTGGGTATCATTGGATTCATCTCTTCCCAAAGAATCTTTTTGGTCTTTACCGCTAAGCTCTATCTCCAACAGGAACGAAATGGCGCGGGGGGTGGCAACCCCCCCCCCATGTGCGTTCTAGGATGGGAAAATGGCATGTGCGGGCGAGGGTTAAGCTACATGCCTCGCGGATTAAAACGAGCGCCGTTGCGAGACGCAGCAACTGGTACCGATTTTAAGGTCTCGGTCAGCAGGGCCCAGTTTCACCAAGTGCGGTAAACTCAATTTGGGGTAAAATACCAAACTACCCCACTCCATAACTACAAAAATACTACCCCGAAATTAGTTAAACTAGCTTGGTGAGGTTGGGCACTTGGCCCAATCTCACCAAGTTATGTAAACTTAATTTTGGGACAGTATTGTTGTAGTTACGGAGTGGGGTAGTTTGGTATTTTACCCCAAATTGAGTTAACCGCACTTGGTGAGATTGGGCCCAGGTGATCTTTTAGGTCAGGTCAAGAAACCCAAGGCACAGGTTCAATTTTTGGCAAATAACTTCACCAAACATGGTTGCAGACCTTGCAGACCCGCAATTCTGGCACTATCATGTTCCGCATGCTGAGGCACGTCGAATGGTAGACCTTTTGCTCAGGTGAAGTCAACTTAAGTGACCTCGCCTCGGGTCAACGTCAGGTTGACACGAAGTTGGTCGGAGGAGGTCATATCGCATACCATACGATCCGGCAGGTCTTGCCAAGTCCATTGATCATTGCTTTCCCAACTCGCCAGCTCAATTTGAGTTATTGAGTTATTGACGAAAAAGTCGTATGACCTTAGTAACGTCATAAATGACCTCACGCAAGATGAACGATGCAAAAATAAAGCGTTGGTTGCTAGGAGTGCATGAACTAGCGATTCCATGTTCTTGAGGTAGGTCTCGATCACTGTCGGCGCCAAAATAACATGAGTTGCGATATTTTCTCAATGGACTTTTAATGGTGAGGCCGTAGGTACGTGACCGACCTGACCTCAGGCGACCCTAAAAAAAAATCTGAGATATACCTAAAAGTCGTGAAACCTCTGGAGGATACTAGCCACTAGGTCCTGAAAGTATCATCTCCTTGTGCGAGCTCCTCTGGCACGGATGGCATTGCGAAGTTAGTTGCGACATTTAAGGATCTGGCGGATGTGCAATCATGACGTCATAGGCTATTGACCTGACCTAAAAATGCAGTTGGTGTCACAACATCCGGCTGGAATCAAAGGTCAGGTATGCGCATGCTAAAACGTTAATGAATTAAGAACAAAAAGAGCGATATGAGAGCAGCGTTGGCTTACGTTTTAAGTAATGTAGGTCTTAACACGGCATCGGGTAGCAATGCGCCGGATGTCCGTATCTGTCTAAAGAACCACTGCCTTTACTTGTCTCTAGATACAATTTGTCGCATATTTTTACTCAAAAGATGTTCTTCTTTTGGCATCTTTCGATTGTTTGTTATGTTGCGAATAAGCTCCGTCGGCCTGAAAAGACCATTGCAGAGCTATGGGATGACAGGATATGGCGTAGACATTGCGCTTAGGACACCGACACTCGAGTCGACAGTGAGCCGCGGAGGCGAGAACGTCCCGGTGGGACCGGATTGCCCCGTTAGAACAGTCCACCCACCTCCCAAACGGTCACCCCGGAGAGGATATTAACGGATCGTGGTATGGACCCGACCTCAACCATGGCGCCGGTTGTCAGTTGGGGTGACCGCCAGCCCGGAGAGGAAGCGTGAGGGGGAGGCGGATGGTTTAGTCCTGAGGATAGCGAGGACGGATAGTATCTTTCGATTTGATTTAGTTTAGTTTAGTTTAGTTTATTTGTAAATCATCAATGGGGTATGCCCCCAATCACAGATGAAGTCAGTTGAAACACAACATGCACTTATAAATACAGTTCAGCGAATACCGCTTAAATGACTTAAATGACGGCTGGAATCAAAGGTCAGGTATGCGCATGCTAAAACGTTAATGAATTAAGAGCAAAAAGAGCGATATGAGAGCAGCGTTGGCTCATTGTGTTATTATTGGCGGCAGCACATATGTAGGTTTGATGGGAAGCCGATGAACCCTCACCACTCACTGAACCTGCACGTGCACCTTGTGTCCTTACCTACTTCTCAGCTGTTGGCAGTCAATATCCAATCGACATCTGGGTGATAACTGATACGTATTCACAAACCCGATTGTAACTCCACAATCATTTCACCCACAGATCTTCTACCTGATCTTCTGTCGCTCGGTGTGGTACTTCCCACTGCGACTCGAGTCTCATCTCTACGTGGAGGTGGTGTTCAACCAGATCGCACCCGACTATCTGGAGGGTCTGCTACTCGTCATGCCCGGAGAAACGCTCCATGAGGAGGTGGTGGTAAGTTATTACCGTGGTAATGAAGCTGCTGGTAATGACGAGAAAAACATGTGATGAGGAATTGGTGATGAGATATGATCTGCATTGTGGACCCATAAACGCCGTTTCGACCTTTAAAAGACGGATAATATCGACAACCCTATAATTTTATATTGTCATCTGTAAATTATCATTGTTTGCATTCATTTTTCATAAGTAAAAATCATTCATGTTTTCATCCTTGCGGTAAGACTGAGGTAAATTTCGGACTTGGACAGATGGTGGAGCAAAACAGCTCTAACAGGACACCAGAGGCCATGGCGGTGCTACTCACCAACAATGAATTGTTGGTTGAAACTTCTCGTTTTTTTTTTGTCCTTTCAAAGCACGCTGTTGTTGCCACAAGACGACCCTTTCAGTTAAGCATTTACGAGTATCACGCTGCTCCCCTCTCACGATAACACCTCTCTCATCGCCGCATCTTCCTTCCCCAGTACGACATCTCCCGCGTGGCTGCACTGCTGCACCGTGCCGCCGACATGAGTGCGGTACCCACCATGAAAGAGACCAAGTACCTGCTGCCCAAGGCGGCACTGATGGTGCGAGACATCAAGCCGCCCCAGTGGGTGAACATGGTACAGGACAGCTGGTCCGAGGTCCATGACAAGACCCCCATGGAGGCCAAGGCGGCCGTGCTTGGTGAGTAAGGAAGGGCGAGTGGTTGCGGTTGGTTACGGCTATTTGGAAGGCATTCGATGTAGGTATTGGCTTACTTTGCAGTTTGCTGCGTTCAATGTAGCGTTTCAATATGCAACGTCTCACTCTCCGTAAAAATGGAAGTTAAAATTCCGCGTCTTACAGATCAGGGCAGCACGGATTTAGCGCAGTTCTGCCAATATTCATTCAATTCAGTTCAGGACATTCGCACTCGAGCCTACATCTTTTATGAACATATGAATGGCACCGACAACCGTTCTGTCTAATTATTGATAGAATTATTGTCCTCTTTGACACTATCCATTTTTTTTCTGCAGAAATCCTGGAGCGCTGGCCCCTGTTCGGCTCCTCATTCTTCGCCGTGAGCCGAGTGACCGAGAGCAGAGAGGCCGTGGATCACATCCTGGCCCTCAACCGCGGCGGTGTGCACTTCCTGGATAGCGTCACTCATGTAAGTGCTCTCTGAAGTAGGTGGGCAAACTGATGCGGGGAGGGTAGTGTGTGCTTGAATCAGGAAATCTGATAGTCCGGGTGCTTCAGAGACGGCGCAAGTGTTTGACGTTCCTAGTGCCGTTTAGCGGATTTAGACGAGAGCTTTGAGTATGGTCGAGTGATGCGGTTTGGTGAGACAAAGACTGTCCTGTCAGGTTTATTCTGTTGAGTAAATAATTGGCTAAGGACAAAATGCGTTTAGCCTAACGTAAACCATTGCGACTGCAGGAACCGTTCCTCCTGATATCGGTCAGAATGTAATGCTGCCAAATGCAATCTCTCTCTCTCCTCTCCTCTCTCTCTCCTCTCTCTCTCTCCTCTCTCTCTCTCCTCTCTCTCTCTCTCTCATCTCCTCTCTCTCTCCTCTCTCTCTCCTCCTCTCTCCTCTCTCTCTCTCT